AGTCTGCTGCGGATACGACTCGGGCGGGACCGAGTCGCCCTCCGAACCATCAAGATGAGGGAATGGATGAGAACGAAGGTGACGCTGGGCCCGATCAGCAACCTCCTGCTTTACTTTTGACTGCTTTCTAGTAGTTATTTCTATTATTCCCTCCCTTTTAAGTATGTTTGTGTGGGCAGTTAGCCGTTTGAACAATTTCCTTTCAGTTTGTGGTGTTAGGCTGTGGTATGTCCCAAACCCGGGGATGGTTTATTCCCTGTAGGGTTTGTGTTGCAAAACAATTTATCCTTGGTAGTTATAATAAGTGAAGTGTGTGACTTATATTTCCGCTGCTTCTTTCTTTTGTGCAATTGAGATTTCCTTCGGACGGCCTTGGGCAGTCTGGCTGTTACTCCATTTGGAGCTTTTTCATTTTTGACCGGACAACCTTGAGTGGTCCGGTACCAGATGACCTTAAATGGTCCGGTAATTACCCTACTTGGGGTCATCTTATTTTTGACCGGACGACCTTAAGTGGTCCGGTACCGGACGACCTTAAGTGTTCCGATTATTACCCTACTTGGGGTCATCTTATTTTTGACCGGACGACCTTAAGTGGTCCGATGCCGGACGACCTTAAGTGGTCCGGTTATTACCCTACTTGGGGTCATCTTATTTTTTACCGGACGACCTTAAGTGGTCCGGTACCGGACGACCTTAAGTGGTCCGGTTATTACCCTACTCGGGGTCATCTTATTTTTAACCGAACGACCTTAAGTGGTCCGGTACCGGACGACCTTAAATGGTCCAATTATTACACTACTCGGGGTCATCTAATTTTTGACCGGACGACCTTAAGTGGTCCAGTTATTACCCTACTCGGGGTCATCTTATTTTTGACCGGACGACCTTAAGTGGTCCGGTACGGGATGACCTTAAGTGGTCCGGTTATTACTCTACTCGGGGTCATCTAATTTTTGACCGGATGACCTTAAGTGGTCAGGTACCGGACGACCTTAAGTGGTCCAGTTATTACCCTACTTGGGGTCATCTTATTTTTGACCAAACAACCTTAAGTTGTCCGGTACCGGACGACCTTAAGTGGTCCGGTTATTACCCTTCTTGGGGTCATCTTATTTTGGTAAGAGTAGAACATTTTATTGATAATATTTTTTCAAGTACATCGCGTTCCAGGGATACATTAGTGGCGTTCCATCTAAGTACTTCAAACAATAGGCCCCATTCAGGAGGCTTGGTCCTTCCCACTTTGGCTTTAGGGGGCTCGGATCTGGCTCCGTTATCCTTTTTAACACGAGGTCACCCGGTTGGTAGAGCCGGGATTTGACCCTCGTGTTGAAGTGTCTTTCGGTCACCCGCTTATATGCGGCGTTCTTCAACTCGGCGTGCGCCCGAAACTGTTCTATTAGATCTAAACTTGTTCATAATCCTTCCTCGTTCGCCTGCTCTTCGAAATTTTTCACTCGGTATTAATCCGATCCGATTTCAACCGGGACCATTGCCTCTGAACCGTACGCCAATAAGAACGGCGTTTCTCCAGTCGTGGACCTCGCCGTGGTCCGATATGACCATAGGACACTTGGAAGTTCTTTCGGCCAGGCCCCCTTCGAGCTTTCCAGTCGTATTTTTAACCGTTGTTTGATGATTTTATTGATGGCCTCCACTTGTCCGTTCGACTGCAGGTGGTATGGCGTAGAGAAATGGTGCTGAATTCCTAACTCCTCGCAGAACATATCGAACCTTTTTCCTTCGAACTGTCGTCCGTTATCGGTTACCACAGAATGTGGAATACCAAAACGGTAAACAATTGACTTCCATAAGAAATCGATCACCTTTTGCTTGGTTATCGTAGCCAAGGGTTCGGCTTCCGCCCATTTGGTGAAATAGTCGACCGCTACGACTGCGTATTTGACACCTCCTTTGCCCGTTGGCAAGGGTCCGATCAGATCTATCCCCCCATTTGGCGAACGACCAAGGAATGTAAACTGACGTGAGCGGGTTGGCCGGTTGCTTCAAATTCGGGGCGAACGTCTGGCATTTAGTGCATCGTCTTACTAGATCGAACGAGTCCCTCTTTATCAAAGGCCAGTAGTATCCCTGCCGCAGGATTTTGTGTGCTAACGCTCGTCCGCCCGAATGGTTCCCACATACTCCTTCGTGCACTTCTCGCATGACTCGTTCGGCCTCGTCGGGGCCAACACACTTGAGCAGTGGGTTCGAGTAGCCCCTCTTGTACAGAGTTCCTCCTACAATCATGTACCTCGCTGCCCGGATCCTCTGCGATCGGGCTTCTTTTTGATCCGTCGGGAGTTCTCCCGTTTCTAGGTATGAACGGATCGGATCCATCCATTCGGAAGGTTTGTTACCTGTTGATTCCCTGATCGTCATGATTTGCACCATTTGAATGGCCGGTTAATCCAGGTGCTGCGTGTATACATATTCGATCTCGTCCATTCCTCGACTGGATGCCAACCGCGCTAACGCGTCCTCCTGAGAGTTTTCTGACTGCGGGACATGTTTGAGTTGGATGTTCGCTCGTGTCATTCTCTTGCGAGCCAAGTGAAAATATGGCACCAAACGAGCTTTCTTCGATTCGAATTCTCCCGAGATTTGCTTTACTAACAACATTGAGTCCAAATACACTTTTAAATTTGTGATGTTCATCGAGTGGGCCAGATCCAAACCGGATAACAGTGCCTCGTACTCGGACTCGTTATTGGTCGCGGCGAACAAGTATCGGACCGAATGACAATACAACTTTCTCTAAGGGCTGACGATCACAGCACCTCCTCTAGATCCGCCGGTTGTGGCCGACCCGTCTATATACATCTCCCATGTCTCTGTAGTTTGGACCAGCTCGGCACCGGTCGTGAACTTGGCCATGAAATCAGACAGCGTTTGTCCATTTATCGCCGTTCGGGGTTTGCACTATAGGTCGAACTGCCCGAGCTCGACGGCCCACTTGATCATTCATCCCGACGTGTCCGATTTGTGGAGAATTTGCTAAATAGGATAAGCAGACAAGACGGTCACCCGATGCTCGAGGAAATATGGCCTGAGTTTTTGTGAAACCGTCACTAGGGCGAAGATCAATTTCTCGATTTGTGGGTAACAGACTTCAGCTTCATGTAACGCCTTGCTTATGTAATAGGTCGGATGTTGGTTCAAATCTTCCTCTCGAACGAGTACGACGTTTATTGCGGCCGGGGTTACTCCGAGGTATAAATACAACATTTCTCCCGGGATCAGCTTCTAGAGAACGGCTGACCGGATGAGTGAATCCTTTATGTAGTCCAACGCATGGTGGCACTCGTCCGTCCATTCAAATTTTTTGTTCTTTTTAATTGCCTCAAAAAGGGCTTACATTTGTCAGTGGACTTTGATATGAATCAGTTTAAAGCCGCTAATCTACCCGTTAGGCTTTGCGTTTCCCTTATTGACCTAGGGGGTTTTAGTTCGAGTATTGATTTAGTCTTGTCGGCGTTCGCTTCGATTCCCCTTTGACTAATAATGTACCCTAAAAACTTACCCGAACCTACCCCAAACATACATTTTTTAGGATTTAACACCATCGAGTAATCGCGCAAAATAGAGAACATTTCATTAAGGTGGGTTACATGATCGTTCGCAAAAACAGACTTAACAAGCATATCATCCACATAAACTTCCATGGTTCGTCTGATTTGATCTGCAAACATCTTGTTCACAAGCCTTTGGTAAGTTGCGCTGGCATTCTTCAGACCGAACGACATCATGGTATAGCAGTAGAGTCCCCTGGCCGAATAGAAAGATGTGTGCTCCTCGTCGTTCGGGTCCATTGGGATCTGATGGTACCCTGAATAAGCGTCCATGAAGCTTATGATTTCGTGTCCGGAAGTCGCATCCACCATGTAATCGATGCTGGGCAACGGATAGCTGTCTTTGGGACAGGCCCGGTTGAGATCGCTGAAGTCGACGCACAATCGCCAGGTCCTATTATTCTTCTTCACCAAAACCAGAGTGGATACCTAGACCAGATATTTAGCTTCGCAGACGAACCGATTGTCAATCAACTTTATCACTTCTCCTTCGAGTGCTCCTTGTCGTTCCGGACCCAGCCTTCTTCTTTTCTGCACGATTGGCTTCATAGTTAGCTCGATTCTGAGGCTATGGCACGTCAGGTTTGGATCGATCCCCACCATGTCTTCATGCGTCCAGACGAAGACATCTGCATTTTCGATTAAAAAAGCAATTAACCTGGACCGGATAGGCTCGCCTATATTCCGTCCGATTCGCAATGACTTGGTGCAGGCCGACTCGTCTAGATAAATCACCTCCGCGTCTTCGCTGGGTTCAGCCCGTTCGGGTTTCTTTCCTTTGAATTGATCTCTAGGGTCCAACTCATCCTTTTCTCCAATTGGTTCCTTCCACGGTCACCGTCCCCGATCTGCCGTTCGGTCCTCCTCATCAGACGGATCATCCTCTTTCCGGATGGCTTTCTGGCTTACTCCTACGTTCGGGTTTGAGTGATTAACCTTCGACACTTCCACAGCTTTCTTGACCTGTTCGTCGTTCCTGAGTAAGGGTGCATTCGCGTCCTCCTCTTCTGGACCCTCGACCGACTCTTCCCTCTTCCTTTTTTTCTCGTTTGAATGTCCAACGGTCGAGCCATCTTCTGGTTGTTCGGGCGGGGTTTCCTCATCTTTCTCTTCCGTCTGCTCGGGCTCACCGGTTTGTTCAATTGTCTGATTTCCTTCCTCACTGGTAAGGCTGTCCCCTGGTTGTCCGGATGGAGCCTGTTCGTCTTGCCTAGTCGGTTGCTCTAGTCTGTCGCTCGAGTCAGCGGTTCGTTCCCTTTCTTCGCCTGCCATCATGACTGAATGGATCTCGAGTGATGGGATCGCCATGATGCAATCTCTTGCTTCCCTTTGGTTGCTGTAATGGACTCTCGTCCCGTTCTGCGTCGGGAACTTGATCGAATAATGGAAGATTGACACGGCTGCCTTCAGCTTGTATAGGGTTCTTCATCCAAGGATGGCGTTGTATTCGCTGGCCATTTTCACCACCTTGAAAGTCTCCATGATCCTGCGTCCGTTCGCTCCTGATTCTCCATGTTCGATCGGTAGTGTGATTTCTCTCTCAGGAATGGTTGTTTGTCCATTGAACCCCGTTATACGGTCGTTGCACGGACACAGTTCACTTCGGTCTATTCCCATTTTAAGAAACGCGGTCCAGTACAAAATGCTCGAATACACTCTGGTGTCCACCATTATTCGGTGAACTGGGATACGGAAGATTGGGGATGTGATTACGAGCACGTCATAATGTGGATTATCGAACGGTAAAGAATCTTCATCTGAAAACATTATCAGGTTTGTGGGCATGGGTACGTGCTGGTAGATCTCCGCTCGGATGACTTGGTGTCCCATGCTGTACACTTTCCGGACGTACGCCTTGACCTGCCTTCTTGACACGCTTGAACTCACGCGGCTCGTATTGACCCTTATTGGTGGTCCGCTTCTTCGGATCGGAATGTGGACCGAGTGCTCCTCGTCCCGAGCGGATACTGTCCCCTTACTCCCCCGAATGCGTTTGTCTTGCCTCGTTGCTCCTGACTGATCGTCAAGATCTCCTTGGGGTGTTTGTTCGTCCTTCACGGATTCGCTCCAAAGTCGAGTTCATCTCCCGGATTCATCCGGTCTTCATTTCTTAGCCTCCGGTTGCCTCCATCCATCTTGGTGAACCTCCTTACCTGCGGATTATCAATTAGTTTCAAAGAGCAGATATTAGATTTCGACATTGGTCGGTGTTGTGGCCGTGGGATTTGTGGTAGGCACAATATCGACTCTTGTCGAGATTCTCCTCGTCCGCCCTTATCGGTTTTGGATCCGGAATGATTCTATTGTTTTTTAACTCTTCGTACACGATAGCAGCCCCGGTCGAATACACTCCTTGATAGCTGTTCGTCAGCTCCTCATGATGTTTCTTCTGCATGGCTCTGAATTGGGCATTTCTTCCATCCTTCATGAACTCCTTGTTCGGGCGAGACTCCTTCACTTTGGTGGGCAGTTCGCTCATGGCCGGGAATGACGGGACGAACATGTTTTCTTACGCCATGATATGCTGCTGGGCCTTCATTAAGAATTCGTGGTACGTCTGTTGTTTGTTCTGGCAAAGGGTCCATTTGAACATTGAATTCGGTCTTAATCCCGAATATACTGAAACGAGCAGGGTCTCTTGGTGGCACGACTCCATGTTTTGCACTCGTTCGTTGAAGCGGGTGATGTAGTCCTTCAAGTTCTCGTCTGCTCCTTGCACAATGTAAGTGATCGATTCTTTGGGAATTCGGCAAGCTTGGGTCCCGATAAAGTGTGTTTGGAACATTGATCTCAACTGCGACCACCTGGTGACCAAATGTGGGGCGAGTGAATGGTACCATCTTTGAGATTTTTCTCCTGGAGTTAAGGAGAACATTCGACATCGTAGGGCATCCGACGCCCCATGTAAGTCCATCCACGAAGTGTACAGTCCCAGGTGGGTGTCCGGGTCGGATGTCCCATCGTAGAATCCGATCTGTGGGATCTTGATCTTTTCGAGCAACTGTTCCTGCAAAATATCAAATGTTAGGGGTGATTCAGATTCGATTGGACTGAACTCGGTCCATCCCCATGAGCTAAGTGCGGTCCGTTTAAGGGGGACTTCTGTCAGTTCTTGTCCGGTAGAGGCGAGTCGTTTTTGGGTCGAACGTCGGGCTTCAAGTTTGGCTATTCTTCTTCGGAGGCTTTTCATCACTTATTCTTCTTCAGCTTGGGTCATTCGCTTTCTGAGCTTCGTCTTCCTCAGGTCGTCATCGGCCACATTCCTCCCCAGCCTTTTGAAGACCGACCGGGAAGTGTTGCGGGTACGAGTGTCAGTGACCGAGCGACTTTCTTCATGATATAGGATATTATACCCCCAAGGCTAAACCGGTCTACTGGCTGGTGGAGGAAGTCGTATTATGAGGAAGTTGAGGAGATCGAGTAGTTAACCAATCGACTAGTAAAACTATCGACCCAACTATCCTTCGACTAGACAAACGATCGAGCATTTCAGTCGGCCTCGACAGGTCGACCACTTTGAGGACTTAATACTACACTGATGGCCTAGTCACAGGCGCGTGAGAGAGCCTCTAACCGAATTTCAAGAGAA